AGCCCTTTGGGAAACTAGAAAAGGAGGGATGCACTGTAAGTGTGGAGGTTATCTTTGGCTCTATGAAATAAATGTGTAGCGAAAGTGAATTTTTCCTCTGGAAAGTATTTAAATGTAGAACAAATCATAATTACATTAGTTCTGCTTAAGTGTCTGGCCCACCGAACACAGGAGTCCTGAAGTCACGTTTTGACCCTTGCTACTTGCCATGAAGTACTGCTTTGTATGTTGCATAATGTGGAGGCTTTGGTTGAGTTACCCCTGCAGGTTGGTGCGGGGGCAGAAATGCTGGGGTGTTCATTTTAGCTTTGGGAGGTGAGTTGTGGACAAGCCCCTAGTTCAGTGCTTCTCACGTTTCGATGTGTGTGAATCACCTGTTGACCTTAAAATGCAGACTTTTTCTTTAGTCCTTCTGGGGTAGAGACACAAACTTTGCATTTCTAACAAGCTGTCAGGTGATTCCAGTGCTGCTTAGACCACAGTTTGAGTAGCAAGACACTGTTCTTTCTTTAATCAAGGGGACAGATCTCTTTATTCACAGGACACACATGTGTGTATGTGTGTGTGTGTGCACGCGCACGTGCCACCCTCTAGCATTTCTCATCTTGAGGAATTGGCTAGTGTTTGGGGCCTTTAAAGGACTCTGGTCTCTACCGTTGGCTGGTCAGTGTCCTTTCCTCCTGGTGACTGTGAGCCCGCTGCGTTCGTGGAAAGATGGCTGGCAGGCTGTTGCATGTGATGTAGGACTGGAGCTCCGAACCTCTCTGGGTTGTCAGTTAGTTGGAATGAATTTGTCCTGTTCTAGTGGTTGGCTGTTAGAGCGATGCCATTATTTATCGAGACCTGCGTCTTTGCTTAGTGACTCAGTACTGGGTACTAAGGCAGCTGTGTTCTCTACCTGGTGACTTTGGAATATTACTGTTCCACATGCTCCATGTAGAAAACACCCCACGTCAATCAGTAACATCTGACAGTTCCATCACTTAACATTTCTAAAATCCTCTGATTTCTCTCCCTTATGTAAGGCTGCAGCTTTAGCTCATGGCACTGTCCTTAACCACCACTTCCCCCAGTACCATATTCCTGCCCCTCCAGGTCAGTGTACTAGCCTATTAACTGATCTTCGAAGTCTGTTCTGATTGACTCTTCACATTGCAGCTGGACCCATCTGTTCTAAGTGACAGATTCCTCCTTAACTTCCAAAGCCTAAAGGGTCAGTCTAGACTCCTTGGCATGACACAGAAGGCCTTCCTTGAGCGTGGTGGCCCTGGCAGCTTTGCATCTCACTTCAGTTCCGCGATGGGCCCTATCCTTTCTTGCCTCCAAGCTTTCTCAGTGGGCATGCACTCTGTGTAAGATGCCTTTTCTCACCCCTCCTCTTGGGAACACTCATGTATCTCTTCAATTTTGATGGCAGTTCCTGAACCTCCAGGGAGGAACCACTGCTGTGGGCTTCCCTAAAGTTTTCTTTGTTTTTGTTTTCCGTAATTGAGTTTCAGGAGTTCTTTATCTATTCTGAATATTAATTCCTTAGCAGATACGTGACTTGCAGGTATTTTCTTCCATTCTCTGAGATGCTGTTTTGCTACACATAATTAAAAAATTTAATGACGTTCATTGATCTGTTCATTCTTTTGTGGCCTGTGCCTTTGGATCAGATCAGAGACATTTTTGCTAAACCCAAAGTTGTGGAACTTTTGTCCTATGTTTTTCTTTTTTACAAGACTTTTATGGTACTAAGTCATACATTTAGGTTTTTAGTTATTCTTTGTGTATGGTGTTTGTAAGGGCCCAGCTCCATTCTTTCACATGTAGGGGCCAGTTTTTCCAGCATCATTTCTTTAAAAGCCTCACAGCTATATTCTTAGTGCCAGGCACATAGAACTATTTATTGAAAAAGAGACCGAATAAAAAGAAAATGAAAAGCTAGGTATTATATCTTTCTTTTGTCTAAGATAATTTACAATGTTTTTGAGGCTATGGAAACTTTACATTAAAATCATACAACATTGATTTTGTAGTAAAGTTTTAATGATGTATGTAGAGCACATGTCAATAAAACAAAATTTGTAATTTCGTGTTAGCGTGTAGGCAATGATCCATATTAAATATGAAGGAGGAGGGGAAGGATCTGGAATACTAATAAGATCAATAATAAATATTTGAATAGATATAGAGAGGTTGTGGAAATTGTTACAAGTAAAATTCTTTCTCCTTTTTGTGCTTCTTTATTCAGATCATGGTACAATAATGTTAGGTGTTACCAGTAAATATTGATGTAATCTTTTGCTTTCTGAATATGATTTTCCTTTGCCTTTTGGGGCAAATTTATCATCCCAAGGTAGTAATGGGATTGTAATTGAGAGCTGGCAGAAGAGAAAGAAATTGCATCTACTAGTTCACCTATCCTCTCCACCCATCCGTCTACTTCAAGATGCGCATAATTGAGTGCCTGCTGTGAGCAAGGCATTGTGTTAGACGCTGGGGTTGCAAGCAAGGTGTATATCACCTTAAAGATAAAATGTGTCCATAATTTTAAAAATCTCGATTATGAGTCTTATAGTTAATACTTGCATACTGATTTATTCCTTGCAGAGCTCTTTCATGTGCCTTATTCCCCTCTATACCAGTATCACAGATAAAGAAATTGAGGCTGAGAATAATTTTTACCAAGTCACATGGCTACCCAGTGGAGAAAGCAAACTTGAACCCAGGATAGATTCTAATTCCAAACCCCATGTTATTTTCTTGCACCATTCTGTCCTGCTTCCATGGGCTACTGTGGAGTACCCCCCAGAAAACATACAAGGTCTCAGAATCGTGGTTTTAAAAATACCTTTAAAAACAACTGATGGCATGTGTTCTACCGCTTAGTAATTTTTGAGCCTTATGGACTAATACAACCTATCCTATTACCTATCAGGTCTCTTTAAAACACGAGAATATGGGTTTTACCTTGAATGTTTTCTGAGAGTATATTTTTATTTAGCTTTAAAAGGAGGCTATGTATTTTTTGAAATTTCTTTTTTTTTTTATTTTTTTTTTTTTAAAGATTTTATTTATTTATCTTTAGAGGGGAAGGGAAGGAGAGAGGGAGAGAAACATCAATGTATGGTTGCCTTTCGGGATTTGAGTTAGTGGGGTAAATTCTTTCATTCTTTCTGTTTGCTGCTTGTAATTTCTTTGCCATATTGATTAAATATAAAGGGCGAAGTTCTTACAGCTAGGAAGGAACTTAGAGGAAGAAATATATTGGAATTTTAGCATGTAAATAAAATGCAGTTCTCATAGTTCACTTGGATTTTATTTTTATATCTGCTTTTACAGAAAGCCTTTATTTAGGCAACAACAACCCCTTTTGACAATATCAATCGGTGCAAAGTAATGGTGACTTATTAATGTATATGCTGTATAAACGTAAAGTGGTGTTATAATCTTCCCCGGGGACAGAGGGTGGGGGGGGTAGCGATTCACTGCTGTCATTGTGCACAGAGTTGTTCGGTGGGCCTCATGTTCTTTGTAAGGACTCTCACCTTCCTCCAGGGGACTGTTTACTCTTGCATTGACAAAAACTCTCCTTGACCAAACTTTGGTGGAGTTCCTCTGAGCCCTTTTCCTAACCAGGCCTTGACTTTGGACTTACGTATCTGTCCTTGCTAAGTCCAGTTTTAGTAAGAATCCCAGTAAGTCTGCATATTCGAAACAGTTGTTGAGGATTTCATCTGCTCTAATCTCTGTGATGATCGCATTCACGTACATTCAGTGCTGTGTCCATATTTTACAGCTGGGCTGCCACATTTGGGATTTGAACCTAAAACAGTCTGACACCAAAGTCTCCAACGTCCGGGAATGTTACGTGCCTTCCCCAGTTTTTTTGTTTTTCAGTCCACCATGTGTGAATCGTATAAGTTTTTATGGAATAGCAACAGTAGACATGGATTCTGGGACTGTCGGGCTAGGAGAAGAAAGGTCTAGTGATGCTTTTCAGTTACATATTTTAATATTCAGTTTTTTATAAGACCTGATGACCTTTCCAAAGCACGTAGACAGACTACATGTTTTAGGACCATCTTATATGGACAGTTTTCTCTTGCTGGAGCTTTTTGAGTGACTGCATGAAAAGAGAAGTCATGCAGTCAATATACTCAAAATCAAATAAATCTCCCAGTAAGTTAATATATAGATAATCCATCCTTGTTCTTACTCATAGGCTGTGCCTTCACTTTTATTCATTAGGGATTGTATAGTAAACTAGCAAATTTACAAATGTTTAGCTACAATACAGCAACAATGATCAAACTTTATGGCCACTTTATTGAGGTTTTGTTCTCCCACTAGGAAGTTACCATTTTGACGATCTAAAATTACTAGAACTTTAGCTGCACTAGGTTTACTCTCTCACCTAATTTATTCCCCTTGCAGAAGCTGCCCGCTCTAACGGAGGGGAGAGGGTGGAAGGTCAGCGCTACACGCTGCCCGGAGCCGCCTCCACCTTCCCGACGCAGTCACCTGCAGTGTAGGCAGCTCCCGGAGCCAGATGTGCTGGGGCCTCCATTTCTTTGTTGATGCTCAGAGTGTTTCCAGAAATGGTCAGAGGAGTTGATGTGCTTCTGTTTCTCTGAGCATTTCCATGATTTCTTTTAGAGATCACCAACTGGAGCAGTGGGCGGGCCTTGCTCTCATTGCCCTCCTGACCCCTTGCTCAACTTTTCTTACTGCCGAACGAAGTAACAACTAGTCTCATTTAGACATTTGGCAGGCTGTGGTCGTTCAATTAATTCCTTTCTTCTTTTCTATATATTTTAATTACCCCAGGGATCTGATATTCTGAGCAGTGTTACTTTTGGGCAGCTTGATGAGTATTGGAAATATCTTGCTCTTTGCAGCTCTGGGTTAGTTACTCTTACATGGCTAATGGTGGGGAGTTGAATGAAAGAACTAGAAATGACTGGACCTTAGCCGTGGAGAAGGCTGTTATCAGTTAATATTTTAAAGAATTGGTGCTCGCTTCAGCAGCACATACCCTAAAATTGGAACGATACACAGAAGGTTAGCATGGCCTCTGTGCAAGCATGACAGGCAAATTCGTGAAACGTTCCATATTTTTAAAAATGAGTCTGCCTTTTGACCCAGCAATTCCACTGCTGGAATTATATCCTAAGAACCCTGAAACACCAATCTAAAAGAACCTATGCACCCCAATGTTCATAGCAGCACAATTTACAATAGTCAAGAGTTGGAAGCAACCTAGGTGCCCATCATTAAATGAATGGATCCAAAAATTGTGGTACATATACACAATGGAATTCTATGCAGCAGAAAGAAAGAAGGAGCTCATACCCTTTGCAACAGCGTGGATGGAACTGGAAAGCATTATGCTGAGTGAAATAAGCCAGGCGGTGAAAGACAAATACCATATGATCTCACCTTTAACAGGAAGCTAAACAATAAAAACAAGCAAGCAAGAAAAATAAAAACAAAGACACTGAAATAGAGAACAGGCTGACAGTGACCAGAGGGGAGAAGGGAAGGAATTTCAGGCAAAAGGGGAAGGGTTTACAGGAACAAGTATAAAGGACACATGGACAAAAACTAAGGAGGGTAGAAATGGGAGGGAGGTGGGGAGCATGGGGGGGGGAGGTGGACAGGGATGGGCTTAAAAGACAGAAAACTGTACTTGAACAATAATTAAATAAAAAATATATAAATAAAATTACCACACAAAAAAGAATTGTGCCTTTTCCTGGTTCTTTGTTATTAGTAGCCTATCTGTATGATGTTCTTAAGAGAATATGCAGAATTTTTAGCCTTGTTTTACAAATAAAAAGAGTAAGCCTCTCGTCTGAGCAGAGAAGCGGAATTCTGGTTTACCCCGGCCTGCCTGTTTATCGCCTGTCATTCTTCCCCTCCCTCGACAGCCTGCCCTGCTGAGCCCGTGCGCAGCGAGTGCAGCTTTGAAATGGCTGTGTGTTCAGGAGCAGCGCACTTAGCCCACAGGAATCGTAACAGTGTGTTGGGCGTGTGTTTCAGTGGAGCTCGGTCTTCTTATCAGGATAAACGGGCTGTCGGAGGAGGACGAGAAAAAAGCATTGTATTAGATAAAAAAAGCATTATAGTAGGAAAGTTTGAGTTTTGCACGGGGATGTCAAAAGAACCTTAAGATTGAGGCATGCATTTGTTGTGTACGTGTGTGGTTTTCTTCTTTGCACGAGGCCGTGTGTAGTCACGTGTATTGCGTGTATGTAGACATCTGCCCACTGTCTTATTTTGTATTCTGTTTGGATAAGGACTTCTGAGGGCTCAAAAGATGGTATTAGAATTTGTTTTTGGAATCTACATTGGCATCAGTAGGTCTTGACCAATTTTAAAATCTTTAGGTCAACACGTGTCATTTTACCTTGAAGTTTAGGACTGGCACTGCATTGGAAGTGACTAAGAGGTGGAAGTTTTAGGTGGTAGCCAGTTAACTTTTTCCCTTTTTTTTTGTCTGTAGATTATAAATTATAAATATATTCAACTTATAAATGAGTAAAGGTCAGCCATCTTAAATATACCCAACTTTTGTGTCAAAAGAAACTTTTCTATAGAATATGTGTAGGTTAGAATAAACTCACATTCACTTTTGTAAAAAGCAGTTTTAAACTTTGTGTTACATCCACAGAGTCTTTTGTTTTTTGAAGTGGAAAAGGATTTGGAATATTTACGTATATTTAATGGGGTATCTAATTGAGGGCATTCAGTAACCAGTAAAACCCTGGTTTTATGCTTCTGAGCTGGTTTCTCTAGTAATTGCACTAAATTGTAGTCATTTTTGGATACAAAGGAAAGGGTCTTAAATAGTTTGTCAAAAGTGTTAACCAAATATAAGGGAGTTGAAGCATCTTTCTGCTGTCTGTAGGTCATAGATCCTCACTGAATCACTTTACCTGTGGTAGTGCTGTCTTTAATGTCACTAGACATAAATTTAAGAATTCTTTAACTAGAATGTTGTCAGTCATTTGTGCATTATAAAAGTATTTCCCGTGTCCTGCTCTCTTCCTGACCTCTGCCAGTACATTGAGCATGTTCTTACCCTTGCAGAATTCTAACTAGATCTTACCACAGATGTGTATCTGTGGATTTAATGTTTTCAGGACTCAGCATCGGCAAAGGTAGGACAATTTATTGGTCATTGCATTCTAGCTAAACACATATTGACATTCTCAAGAAAGTTATTTAAACAAAAATCCCAGCACCTAGTGACACTGTCTCCGGGTACAGATTATGATCAGATTATGAGAGACTGACCTTCAAGGTCACGAAACTATGCTGGCTTCAGGGTAGGTGTTTTCCTATGTCAAGGGAAACTTTTGCAGTGTTATTTATACTGAAATACTTGAATGTAAGTTCTTACCTGCCTTTTAAAAGTCAGGGAGTAAGTCAGTCATCATAACAAAGTAAAGTTTCTTCTCCTTGATCTTGAGATGTAAGTTTTTTGTTCCTCTCTAATGCAATTTATTTTTAAATGTGACCTTTGAAAGGAAGAGGTAGGACCCTAAACCTTGCAATGAGTCACTGAACAATGATCACCTTTCAGTGAGCTTGCCTCTGGTGTGTTGCTTTTGGGGATTGTTACTTGACTGCTGGGCCAGAGTTAGTGAGGCTCTGCAGTGGGCAGCCTCACCTTAATCTAAGCCTTGTGAAGCTTTTGCACCATGTAGAGTGTCTGATTTGCACCTCTTGAGTTCTGCAAATTCAGCTGCCTTTGGCCAGTATTTGGTGGGCTGGTGTTAGTTAGCTGACAAAAGGTGGCGTGTTGTTGTGGGCATTTGAACTTTTGTTTGAATGTTTAATTCTTTTTCCGCAGTCAAGTATGAAGTTCTTCAGCCTCTGTCTATAAGGGTAGGCTAAATCTGCAACCACCTAAGTGTATGTCAATCCCAAGCCGTTATGTAGAATGAAATATCCTCAGAATTAATTAAAACAGAGCCTAGTCGTAAGTTGAATTCATATGACAGCAGCAAGCATGAGGAAAAAAGTGGCAATCATAAAGATTATTTTTTTCCTAAATGAATTGCTGAATTTTCAAAGTTTAAGGGGAGAGACAAAAACTTGAGTGTTTCATTTTCCCCATGAAGATAAAATCCAAAGTGGTTATAGTTATTCTGCTGTCTTTCTCAGAACACTCGTTTGATGGCCAAGGGCTGGGCAGGACTCCGTCCCTTTCTTAGAGGTGCTGCAGGCATTGTCGGTCCTCACTGCATGTATAATAATAACATTATTCAGGGCCGGCATGGGGCTGGCGTACCAGGGTCAGTGCCAGTGGTCTTAGGAAAAGGGTGATTGGCATTTTAATCAGTGCAGATGTTTAGAACCTTTGACTGACTGTATTTTTAGCTCTTCAGATAGCGCAGCGCCAATGCAGAGGGGACAGCTCCATCTACTGAGGCCCATTTCAGAACGATTCCCTCTGTTGACCAGCGATTGTCCTTTTGCACATTTCATTGAATTTTCTTCTGATTTATAGGTTCTAGTGGAAGTTATGCTGGAACTGGTAATTTGTTCATTTCAAAACTAAATTCCTTGTCATTTTGCTTAGTGCTTAAATCCAAAGGAGTTGTTGAGGAGCATTCTTAATTCACTTATTTAAAGCTTACGTTTTCTGGGGATCTAGGTAGATGGTAAAACTGCCCTTAAGAAAATGTTACTGGAGATGGTCTTTCTTTAGTCATCCCTAGGTTGAATCCCCTCCCATGTCCTCGTGTTGGCATTTTATCGGCAGTGTCATAGAAATTACAGTGGCTTTGCTGTTACATTGAGGCTTGACTTTTAGTTCTGCCACTTTGGCTGGCCCTGTGATACCGTGCGAGTGACTTACTTTTCATAAACCTCAGTTTCCCCAGAAGGACTTGTGGGTCATACTTACTGGGTGCAGACTGTGTCGGAAGGGCGGTATAGTCTTTGAAAAGTTTGGAGTGGGAGACTCTCCCTATTTGCATTTTATATCAGACCAGAAACGTCTAGCAGTCTGCCTCTTCAGAGAGTGCCAAAGCTGCAAAGAGCCACATCACCCGAGGTTCCTCGGCTCACTTTGAGCACTGTGGGAGTGTGAAGGCCAGGCCAAGTCAGCCCAACGGCCAGCCTAGCTGTGTAGCTCCCCATGGTGTCGGCTGATGCTGTGGTTGGACCTTCCCTCTGCTCCATCCTCCTTCCATTCCTTCTCTGCAAGGAGGCCACGGGTGCTGATCCCAGGAGTGCTCCTTAGTAAGTATTCTGCGTGCTGAACGTGGTCTCAAGGGTCTGTTTTCTGGCAACTCTAGTTTGGGGGCTGTTGTGGACCACTCTGACTGGTTTCAGGAATTGTAACCTTAACCCCTCCGTGGCTAAGGATGAGCGAGTGACCTCAGAATGCAAGCCATAGGTGACAAAGCTTGTCTCTGGTAGCAAATACTGCCTCAGTTTCCTCCCTGCCCCCAAAGCATGGTCGGAAGTCCATGATGGGTAAGTCTTCTCATAGTGGGGAGCAACCTAAGCCAGACTCGACCACTTGGGAGGCCTTCATGGAAGGACGGGGGGGGGGGGCTGCAACAAAGAGTGAGCAATAGACCCGTGCCCTCAGGCTATGTGACATAGCCCTAGTCCCCTTGTCTGCTGGGAGAAGTGCTTCCTGGGTCTAATCCCCTTAAGCCTGAATACCTGTTGGGGAGGGGTGCAGCTCCTTGCCTTGCCAGAGCTTGCCCTGGGGAAAAATCTGGCATCACAAAGACTTCCTGATAAGCATGTGAAATCTGCTCTGCTAAGAGTGCTTTCATTCATATGTTAAGGGTTCGAGCAGGAAATCCTAAAACTCTGTTCCTGACAGACTCTGACTCATACTAAGCCCTCAGATTTCTTTGAAATGTTATCTACTGTTTGATCCTTGCCACCCCATATTCCTGTATATTACAACCCAATAAAAGCTCCTGGAGGAGAGGGCTCGACGCCTTTTCCCCTGAGAAACTGGCCACTGCTCACGGCCCTTCCCCCTTGAGGGTATCGGCCACCTCTCCTCCCCAAACAGATCATGTCATGTCTTGTTTACTTTCGTCTGTGGCGGACTGGGGGGACTCGTGGGAAAAGTCACCCCCA